TGGGGAAGGGGCCGTTTTGCCGCAGCCTCACCCACATCGCTGGATTTTGTGGGGTAAATGAGCAAAAATATAAGTATCTTGAAGTAATGTCCAAGTTCGCCTTTCTTGAAACCTTGGCATGTCCAGATAATTGAAAGTTTTTCTGTGCCAAACAGGTTTTTTATAGTGAAGCGTTTATTGTGCCGACGTTTCGACTAGCTCGTCGTCTTCAAGGCCTGAATTTTCGAAATGCTTCCTTCAGGCCTTGAAGACGACGAGCTAGTCGAAACGTCGGCACAATAAACGCTTCACTATAAAAAACCTGTTTGGCACAGAAAAACTTTCAATTATCTTGAAGTAATTTTGACAGCCTATTATGACGAGTTATTGTGATATCGAAAATGTGAAAAAATCACGACAAATGGACCCTTAGACGATCATCAGCTGACAGCCAATACGAGCGTGAATATGTTAAATTTACAGGTACAGCTCAAGAAAAAGAGCTTGACATCGTGGAGAGAAGAAACTTTTAAAGAAATAACGAAATTCAAGTGAGAGATCTGTGAAGCTTAGAAAAAAGTAAGAAAGCAAAGATCGGCACATCTGCACTACTACAACCCCAGTAGGGATGAGAAGAGTCAAAAAAAATTTTCGCCGAAACTTCTCTGATAGGGGTTATAGTCCTGATCACAAATATGAGACCCATTTTTGACGCTGGCGCCAAATCAGCGCCATTACGCCAGATGGCGCTAAATGGCGCGACCGAATCCCATAGAATTCGCTGTGAACTTGTAGATGGGAGTGAGCTGGAACCCAGATTACGAATATGCCAGTTTTTGTCGTTAGCGCTCGGCGCTCAGTTCCTGCTTGTCTGCGCCCTCTTAAATTGGATCTCAAGCAGGACTAAGCTTTTGGAGAGTGGAGGGCAGCAACGTGAGTAAGCCACTCTCCCTATAATCACACAATTCAACTTTTGCCCACGGTGCTTGGTTGACCCAGTACGGCGCAATCACCATTTCTTAGGCTTATTCGTAGGCGCATCAAGTGAGAAAGGTCATGAAAGCAGAAATATGCGTTAAAACAGCGCGGGCGATAAAAACAAATGTTATATACTTAATCCGAACCCCTTCATACAAGTTTACGGCCAATTTGGTGAGATTCGCTAGGGCGCCTGGCACCAGAGCCAAAAATGGATTCCATAATCGTTAGACCGCCGTCACACTCGGCGAGGGACAAGCGATGGAGCTATCGCGGTCCGTCGCCGAGTCTGACGGCGGTCTTATCAGGACCCTCGCCCCCCATAGGAGAGGTTTGAGCGAAAAAATTTGACCCATTTCACCCCTACTGGGTTT